ATTCATTCATGGATAGAGAAAACTCAGCTAACTACTGTCTTGCTTAGCAGGAGAATTTTTTTGGCTCATTTGCGGTCATAATTCGAGGACTACCTGTATATAATATACTGAAGGGTGGCCTTTGGGGGGGGGAGTGGAAAGCCAGGAGTGTTTGGAAAGGGGGGGGCAGGGGAGAAGAGTGAGAAGACCACGGAAGGACATTGTGGTGGCCAGTGACCCACTTCATTGTCTCTGGAAAGACCCCTGAGACACCTTCAAATAGAGACAAAGTTCATGTCAACTCCAACCTCTGAGTCTATTTTTAGCCCCCTCGGAGGACAACTTGCCTCTGGGACACAAAGCACACTTAGGGTGGGGCGTAAGAGGCGTGAACTTTACCACCAGGGCATCCGCCTGCTGTGCCCATCACTCCTGAGCTGAGAATATCAGCCCGATGGGGCCATATATGGGACAATGCATCAACGCCTCGGTTGGATGGAGAAGGGGGTGTGATGGGGGGGAGGAGATATTTTGGAAGCTGGGGGGGTCGTAGGTCAAGAGTCTTGGGGGGGGCAGAGTCGAGCATCCCGAAATAACTCAACAGGTCAAGAGGGGAACATGATGGGGGCTGGTTGAGTTCACCAGAGGAGTGTCGAGTTACTGGAACGTGAGGGTCTGCAGGACAAAAGAAGGAGGGGGGAGAGGAATTTGGAGGGGCTGCCAAGAATGCAGAATTGGGGGGAGAGGAGAGGGTCTTGGGGAACTCTTAAGGGGGGGGTCTCCTTTACTTTCCTCGTCTCTCTCTCTCTCTCTCTCTCTCTCTCTCTCTCTCTCTCTCTCTCTCTCTCTCTCTCCTTCCTTCCTTCCTCTTCCTTTCTTTTTCCGTCTGTCAATTTCTTTTGTTCTGTCTTTCTCTGTTGATTTTTCTCTGTCTCTTTGTCAATCTTTCTGTTGTCTTTCTTTCTCTTTCTATCTATCAATTTCTCTTGTTCTGTCTTTCTCTGTTGATCTTTCTCTTTCTCTGTCTCTTTGTCAATCTTTCTGTTGTCTTTCTTTCTCTGTCAATCTTTTTGTCTCTTTCTCTGTTGAACTTTGTTTCTTTCTCTGTCTTTCTCTTTGTCGACCTTTCTGTCTGTCACTTTCTCCTTCTTTCTTTCTCTTTCTGTCTGTCAATTTCTCTTGTTCTTTATTTCTCTGCTGATCTTTCTTTGTCTGTCTGTTTGTCAATATTTCTGTTGTCTTTCTTTCTCTGTTCTTTCTTTCTTTCTTTCTTTCTTTCTCTGTCTTTGTCTCTACTTTCCATCTTCCTCCTTTTTCTTCCTTCCTTCCTTCCTTCCTTCCTTCCTTCCTTCCTTCCTTCCTTCCTTCCTTCCTTCCTTCCTTCCTTCCTTCCTTCCTCTTCTTCTCACCTTCCCTGTCTCTCTCCTTCCTTCCTTCCTTCCTTCCTTCCTTCCTTCCTTCCTTCCTTCCTTCCTTCCTTCCTTCCTTCCTCCCTCCCTCCCTCCCTCCCTCCCTCTCAATTTCCCCATCCACCTCCCTCCCTCCCCACGAAAGAACCGATCTGAATGCCCTTTGCTCTCCTCGTGATTCCAGGAGGAACGCAACAGATCCGAAAACCGAAAAGAGACGCACAATTTCAGTGAAAATCGAAAATACAAATTGGCCACCCGGGAGCTGTGTTCTTTTTGGATTGATGTTGTGTCATTCATTCTTAGCAACCACCTTGATAGATTTTTCTCTCTGGACCCTCCATCATTTTACATTTTCTCTCTCTGTGGTTTTCCTGGGAAAGAACCTGGAACCACGATTTCCCCTGCTAAGCTGGTTGACTGTTAAGGGAGTTGGGCCCTATTTTGCAACGACTTCTGCCACCGTTGTTAAGAGAAACACTGCAGTTGTTACTTTGTTAAGTGAACCAGGCTTCCTCCCCCCCCCCCCCATTGATTTTGCTTGTCAGAAGGTCTCAGAAGGGGATCCCGTGACTCTGGGACGCTGCAACCGTCATAAATATGAGTCAGTGGCCAACTGTCTGAATTTTGATCGTGCAATGATCATAACTGTGAGGATTGTTCATAGGTCACTAAATGAATGATTTTAAGTAGAGGATACCGGATGTGGTTTAGACTGGACATCTCTTAAGAAAGAGCTTGGTAAAAATTTGGGAGGGGAGGTTGTTGTCATTTACAAAATGGACCTTACTCATGGAAGGAAGGGAGGGAGGGAGGGAGGGAGGGAGGAAAAAAGGAAGGGATGGAGGGAGGGATGGAGGGAGGGAGAAAAAATATACAAAGAAAGAAAGGAAAGAAGAAAGTGAGGAATAGAGAAAAAAATAAGGAAGGAAGGAAGGAGAAAGAGGGAAGGAAGAAAGGAAGAAAGGAAAGGAGAAAAAAGAAAGAGAAAGAAAGGGGGAAAAGAATGAATGAATGAATAAACGAAGCAAGAAAGGAAGAAAAAATATACAAAGAAAGAAAGG